GGCAGAGAGGCAGAGAGGCAGAGAGGCAGAGAGGCAGAGAGGCAGAGGCAGATCTCTGTGAGTTCCAGGCCAGTCTGCTCTATGGAAGTAGTTCCAGGACAGCCAGAGCTACACAGAGAAAACCTATCTCAAAAAACAAAACAAACAAAAAAGCACATACTGCTCTTCCAGAGGACCTAGGTTTGGTTCCCAGCACCCCCATGGTAGGTCACAGTCGACTATTGCTCCAGTTTCAGGGGACCCAACATCCACTTCTGGGTACATGCATCAGGCACGGGTATGTAATATGATGCACATAGATATGTGCACAGAATACACTCATACAAATAAAAATAAACAAATCTACCAGGCATGGTGGCACATCCTAGCACCCAGGACACAGAGGGAGGTGGATCTCTGTGAGTTTGAGGCTAGCCTGCTCTCCATAGTGAGTTCCAGGACAGCCATGGCTATGTAGAAAGAACCTTTCATGAACACTAAACAAAACATTAAATAAATAAATAAATAAATAAACCTTAGAAAATTTTTACATGAGATTCAAAATATCTAAGTTGGAAGTCTTTATGCACTTTCAACTTAATGGTAAAAAATTATCACAACATAACCCTGAGTTAATACTGAATTTTTGAAAAATTTTCTCATCATACTGATGAAATTATTATATTAAACTTGAATCACTTAAATTTTATAGACAGGATTCTTTTGAATCTGGATATAAGGCATTTTCTGAATAAAGTCTATCATAAATGGAATCTCATTTTATCAATAATTGACAAAAATCAAGCAATCAATTTATTGTTTGTATATTTTAATACATAAAAAATATTATTTTAGGACTGGAAATGCGGCTAGCAGTAAAGTGTGTGCTTAGCATGGGTATGAAGCTCTTGGGCTTGAGTCCTAGACCACACATCTTCATATTCACACACACACACCATACACACACACATACCATACACATACACACACCATGCAGACACATACCATACACGCACACAATACACATACATACTATACACACACACCATACACACACATACACACACCATACATACACATACACACATCACACACACACACACCATACACACACCATACACACACATCATATACACACCACACACACATACACAAACACCCCATACACACACACCATGCACATGCCACACACATCATATACACACACATGCCACCATGCACAGCATAAGTTTTACTTATTTCTTAATCTGACTTTTGAATTTAAATTCCAGCAACCATGAATTAAAAAAAAAATTGCTCTAGATCCTGATTTCATTTCAACAGGGATTGGGGAGGGCTTAAACATTAGGTACATTTATATTTAAAAATATTAGGTAAGTTTATATTCAAATGATGACCCATAGTTAAATTATTAAGAGCCTGAGTATACAAAAAAAAATTATCACAAACTCATGGAAGGAAAACACTTCTTTCCTCTCTCTTAATATTAACTGCGTACAATGGTGATATAAAGCTAACTTACCCAGACTGTAAAAAGTGGTGATGTTTTAGTGGCTTCTAGTATATTCATAGCAAAAGGGGAAAAACAAAAAAATCATTGTCTTTTTATTTTAAAACGTTATGATAATCCAAAGTATGTATTACATTTTCAACACTTGACATCTAAGTGTGTGTGTGTGTGTGTGTGTGTGTGTGTATTAAGCCAGGTCCTCCAACAGGCTAAGCAGGTGTTCTTTCTACCACTTTCTACTACATCATCCAGCAGCCATTATTTGTACACTGTAAATGTAGATGAACATAGAGACAGAAGATGGAGCGAATGAAAAGAATCCTAATTAACATCGAATTCAAAACCCTTCGCTATTTTATTACTACTTTGGGTATTAGATTCTACTAAAAACTATTTCCAGTGTAATAGGCACTGACTTCCCATATAGTTCACATTTTAACTTCTTTTTACCTTCAATTACTTTTTAATAAAAAGTTTACATTTGTAAAATCCCTCAGTGTTATTCTAACTAGCTTAGTTTTTAACCTTCCCTTAAGTATACATTATAAAGGAGTAAGTGTTAGGCTAGTAAAAATAATACAAATAACTGGAATCTTTAGCCTGGATCGTTTTTAAACATACTGTAATTGGCATCCTAGATATTTGAAGATGCAACATGAACCAAATAAAAATGATCTTAATCATGTCTACAAAGTTCTGAAACGTCTCATAACCTAGTATTATACATGTGAACTAATCCAAATTTATTTTCCTGACCAAGATGTGGACACAGTACATAGAGCACACCTGCTTGTTCAAGTGGGCCTGTCTAAAATACCTTAAAAGTATCATAGCCTAAAATATGCCTTGTTTCCTCAGTTACCCATAACTCATGACTTTCTTGCCTTCTCACTCTTAAATCTATGGGTATCACATGGCATAGAGAAAAGAAGTCTGGTATGATGGCACTATAATAATTTAGAATACGTCCCATACAAGCACACTGTTCAAATACTACCAATTTTCTTTTGTTAAAATCAGACTGAAATCTCTTATAAATAAAAGAACGAGATAATAGGACTTTTAAAAGTATTATACTTACTATTTCTTCCAAACCCTTCACATGGAAAGAGCCAAAGGTTTTCAACTTGGAAACAAATTTGAGGTGATATGCATCTCGCTAGCAGATCTAAAAAGATGCTGACTAGCAAACTAGCAATCCCAGTATTGGGATTTCCACTGCGGACGCAGTTACTGGTCCTAGGTGAAGCAGGCAGGGAGGCAGATTGGTTTCTGCCCTCCGTAAGCTCACACTTCCGAGGACTGCGGGCCGCATGCTGCCGTCGTCAAGGCAACGACCTCACTCGGTCCCCAGCCATAGGCAGTCTCCAGAGAGAGAGGAAGGGCGGGAGTCAGAATGCGTCTGACAGGCACGGACACTAGCACCTGTCAAGGCCAAGAGCTGCAGAGAAGTGAACTGGGGAAACAGAGCACCGCCTGCCGAAAGCCCTCCGGTCGCTCAGGTCGGGGAACCAGCTCTTTGCCAAGTAGCCCTGGGCGAAGGCGTTGGCCACCCCAGCTGCAAGGGGCGGCTCTCACCCGCCCGGGCCCGCCCCGCCTACGCCGGAGCCTCCCTGATCCTGATTGGTTGAGGCCTGTCGTCAGGCGTTATGATTGGCTCCATGCCATCCCACCCCGCCCCTTCACCTGGAGCCCGCAGGTTCGATCAGCTGACGGCCTCGTCTCCACACCTACAGTGTTAAGTTGGTAGGGACCTTAACGACGGTGTCAGGAGATCTCTGCTCTCAGGGGAACGCAGATTGCTCCAGTGGTCACGAGGAGAGCCAAGGTGACGGCTCTGTGGGACTGAGGAGACCGTGAGATTTCCCAGCTTGCCCGCCCGCGGCGCGGCGGGGCGCGGCAGGGCGCGGGCCCCCACCCGGGGAGGTTCCGCCCAGCCGCGATTCCTCCTTTCCTTTCGGTTCCGGGCGGTGGACCGGAAGAACCTAGTAGGTTATTTAGCCGAAATAGGTTGAATGGGTATCTGTTGACCCGACAGGAAAAAGGACCCTGGGACGCCAGCCTGATAGGGAAAGATTTAGGGAAGAGCCCAGAGAGGACTTGAAAGCAAAAAAGGCGCTGGGATGGGTGCTGACTACCAGTGACTCAAGCTGGAGCTTAAAACTTGCCTTATGTTTGAAAACTAGATGAGCCATGACTGGGCAAGATCGAAAGACCATTACCAAGCATATGCTGACGTCGTACAAGAAGGCAGGAAATGGAGTCTCCCTCGTTATTAAGAGTCTGAGATTGTAACGCCAAATAGTTTTACTTGTATTCAAAATAGCCACACAATTTACTCTTATTTAGTTTCTAAAATAGCTCGATCCAGGAAAGTATCGTTGACACAACAGACATGTTTATACCTAGCCAGCACCCAGGAGTCATTCTTGCATACTAAGGTGTAAGAGCAATTGTTTTATAATCTCTTCTTAGTTTGGTTCTGCATTAATCTCCCAGTGCTCAGTTAGTTACCTTCAATTACCAAACTGCTTGAAATCGAGTTCCCAAACCTACAATTTTGAAGACCACCTCTGGAAAAAGGGTATCGGTTTTTGTTTTTTAGATTTTTTTTTTTTTGGACAACCCAAGACGTAAGTTTATAATGTAGCAATGAGCTGTGACCAAGCTGAAGATAATTCCCATTGCTTTCCTCTAGATTGTAACAAACCCCATGAGGTTCAAATAGAAAAATATTTATGTGTGTTCTGCTTGCTTGCATGTCTGCGCACTGTGAGCATGCTTGGTGTCTACAGAGGCCAAAAGGGCATCAAGACCCCCTGGAACTGGAGTTACAGTTGGTTTCTGAGTTGTTGTGGGCATGCTGGGAATCAAACTTGGGTCCTCAGGAAGAGTGGCAGGTGTCCTTGGCCACTGAGCCATCTCACTAGACATTAATGTGATCTTTTATGGAACAAGCAGGTTTATTAGGGTGGGAAGCTCTTATTTTTTTACTTTTTTCATATTTTACTTTTTTCCAGTTTTACATAATTAAATAGTTGAGGGGCCTTCAAAGAGGTCTTGAAACTGGAATGGCCCATTGGTATCCATGGGAACTGAAAGGACAAAGGCTAAAAATGGTGAACAGGTGTTGCTTGAGAAAACATTTAAAAGTTGGAAATAATTGTAAAGGAAATAGAGGGAGGGTATTCAAGAAGTACAAGTCCCTTTGGGAACTAGGAGGGTAATTGAGTAGCGGTGTGCTTACTTGGACTGCACAAAGCCCTGGGTCCCATACCCAACAGTTTATAAAACAAGGCATGATGGTTGGGGCACAGCCATGTAATCTCAGCCTCAGAGGTGGCGAACAGAGGCACTACAAAGTCAAAGTCCCTCTCAACTACAAATCAAACTCAAGAGCAGCCTAGGCTCTGTGAGACATTGTGAAGAAAGGAAGGGGGAGAGCTGGAGAGATGGCTCAGCAGATAAGAGGACTGACTGCCTTTCCAGAGGTCCTGAGTTCAATTCCTAGCAACTACATGGTGGCTCACAACCATCTGTAATGGGATCCAATGCCCTCTTCTGGTGTGTCTGAGGAGAACAATGGTGTGCTCACATATTCACATACAAAAAATAAAATCTTTGTCTTAGGGTTTAAAAAAAAAAAGGAAGGAAGGGGGAGGAAGATTATACTCTCTTCCGATTACTGAAGATGAGATAGACGTTATGTAGAACAGCTGGGTTTTTGGTTTGGTTTTTAGAGACGGTTTCTCTGTGTAGCCCTGGCTGTCCTGGAACTCACTCTGAAGACCAGGCTGGCCTTGAACTCAGAAATCCGCCTGCCTCTGCCTCCCAAGTGCTGGGCTTAAAGGCGTGTGCCACCACCACCCGTCGATGTAGAACAACTGGAATAGCTGTTTTCTTCTTGAACCATAAAATAACTGGCAGAGAAAACTGGTTAGAGAAGGAGTAATTTGTGAAATACCAAGTGTAAGAGTTTATTAGGCCAGAAGAATTCAAGGAGAGAAAACATACATGTTAGCTAGCCTAGATCTTTAGTACATTTCATTTTTTTTTTATTAAACCATACTGGTCAGCCTAGCACGGTAGTGAAAACTTTAATCCCTGGCAAGCATATGTCTTGAGTTCAAGGCCAGCCCAAACTAACACTGTAGGTTTCAAGCCAGCCAGAGCTATATATTGAGACCCTGCTGCAAACAAAACAACAAAAGTACTGGTCACATTTGAGGCTCAAGGAATTGGAAGCTTAAACTCCTGTAGGTAGGTAGTTATGACAAGTCACTTCAATGGGGATGGTTGGTGGTGGCGCATGCCTTTAATTCCAGCACTTGGGAGGCAGAGGCAGGCAGATCTCTGAGTTCGAGAGTTCCAGGCTAGCCTGGTCTACAGAGTGAGTTCTAGGACAGCCAGGGCTACACAAAGAAACCCTGTCTGAAAACAAAACAAAAGTCACTTCAATGGGAATAGAATAAAACATTTAGCGTGCCAACTGAACATGCGCACCATGACTCTACAGTAAAAATGGACCTTGTTTCATACAAGTTGTCAAGCTCAAGGGCAAGAATGTACAAAATGAGGAATATAATACCTGGTGATTAAACACAGGAGGTGAGGAACCAAGAATGCTGGAAAAGCCTGGTACCCAGCTAAACAAATAGAGAAGTCATAATGGTCCTTAAAATTAAAAATCACCAGAATAAGTGAAAAGTGTTCTAAGGAAAACACTGGAAATGCCTGAGGTGGACCCAGCCCTCCAGACACGACCACAAAGCAAAGTGTAAATAGGCTAAGGAATAGAGCAACTGTTCCACTTCTCCATATACACCCTAGAGCAGTGGCTTCGTGGGTCCATACAAATCCTTCTATTCAAACATTTGTAGCCGTGCTGTTGACAGCAGCCAAGTGGAAACCCAAGTGTCCAGCAGCAGAGTTTAGCTCTAGCATTTTCATTCAGTAGAACACTGGTTCTCAACCTGTGGATTCTGACTCCTTTGGGAGTTGCATATCAGATCTCCTGCATATCAGATATTAACTTATGATTCATGAAGTAGCAACAGAATACTTGTATGGTTGGGAGTCACAATATGAGGAACTGTGTTAAAGGATTACAGCATTAGGAAAGTTGAGAACCACTGGATTAGAGGTGCTTTAGAAAAGGAAATGACTACTAATGGGTATAGCGTTTCTTTTGGGAGGTGATGAAGATATTCTGGAATTATCTGATAGTGGTGATGGTTATATAACCTTGTAAAATCTACAAGTACTTAATTGTACACTTTCAACGAAGTGAAGCAAGTGAAACAACTCAAGCAGCTAAAGGTGCTTGCCACCAAGCCTAAAACCTTGAGACTGATGGCTGAGATCCACAGTGTGGAAGAAGAGAAGCCAAAATCCATCTTCTGATGTGCAAAACTCATACACAAGCGCACACCCACAGAAAAAAAGTTCTTAAAGAGATTGTAAGGTATGTAAATTATCTCTCATTCAAAAAATAATAAACTATGAAAAACTAAGAAACATCTCCCCAGAAGTCCATTTTTCAGTGACTTTGTAAATCTTAAGCTTACAGCAGAGCTATTCTTTTCCCATATTGACAATTTATTCAACTATTTCATGACCATTATCACTATACATCTAGTCATCCAAAGACCAATATGTACCAGTCAATTCTCGATTCCTTACATTTACCCCCCCGCCCCCAAACTCTCCAGTCCTGAAAACCTGATTATCAAGAGCTTTTGGCATCACCTCAAGTAATCAAGTGAATGACAGGTTCCTAAAATCTTGACATTTTCTGTTACAGTATATTGTACAGCATGTAATGATGAATGCAACACACCAACCACTGTATTTAAAAACTGGGGGCTAATGTGTAATGAGTGCAAGGCTCTGGTTTTTAATCTCATCATGAGAAAAGGGAAACAAAACCAAAAATGGACTGACTCATTTTGTAGTTCTAGAAAAGTCAATTCTGTTTGCAACCTAGACCGATTTCATTTATTAAAAACTTACTAGAACTAAGTATTGTGGTATATACCTTTAATCCCAGCACCTGCAGAGTTCCAAATTAGCCTGGTCTACATAGCCAGTTCTAGGACAGCCAGGGCTATATTAACTGTGTCTCAAGGGGGATGGGAGTGAGAGCCAAGTCTACATATTGAGATCAGAGGTCTCAACCCACTCCCACACCAAAGGCTGTTAGGTTTGGAGATGGAAGATAGAACATACCACTTGTTCCAAGTTCCACATAGCTCATATTTTGCT